GAAGGGCTATAGAGTCACCGTAGGGAGTCTTTAAATCGACATTCATAACAAGTGATGCTGTAGATTTAAAAACAGGACTGCAGTCATTTGAAGGTCCACATAGATTTTGCCAGTAGAAAGAGTTCCTCATGGAGAACAATACTGATAATCACCAACTTTGGTCATAAGTAAATACATTTGCAAATCTATATTTATATAGCTGTCAGAGCTGCCCAACTGGAGGGCTTAGATACGGATCCCTTCAGCCTTCAGAGCAGCAAGATACAGCCGAGGGCAGATGAACCAGTTGGTGCTTGGTGCAATATGCTACAGCCATTTTCTATGACTGTCATGACACAAAATGGTTTGCAACGTGCTTCTAGATGGGACTGATCTGAAGGCGCTTTTTGTTGTTTGGTGTGTTTTGTTTTGTGTTTGAAGAAGTGATTGAGATCTTCAAAAGCACTGAGGCTATACAACATGGCTATAACATGAATCAGTCTAAAATACTAGATGTCTAGTCACTGTGTTATCAGTCTACCACCAAAATGGCATGAACGAAGTGCATGTAATAGTATTATACATGTTTACAATATTATATATGCTAAATGGAAAAAAGCAGATATAAAGTTATAAATGCACTATAATTGTAAAACACAGCATAATTAATAGTAGTTGTACTAGATTAGTTTAGACTGTGATTTATAAAAATATATATCTCACTATGCCATTTCTATTAAAGTGAAAACACACAATGTTTTAATAAAAATAAGCATCATTATAAACAAAACATTAAGTGTTGTTTTCTTTCCCCCCCCAGTATGACCATAATCTGGGAATACAGCTGCGGTCACCTATATGCATATGTATATGCAACTTTTATATGAAAGATTTTTATGATCAAGTATTACAATTAACAAGCTAATTTGAAAAAATATATATATATTTTTTATATTTATATATAAAATATATAACTGCTGAGTACAGTATTCAGAAATTAAGACATCAATGATAGCATAACTTGAACCGCTCTTCTGGGTATCTACCCCCCAGAATTGAAAACACTCATAAAAATATATGTACCCATATATTCATTGCAGCATTATTCACATAGCCAACACACAGAAACAACCTACGTGTCCTTTGACCAATGATTGGATAAAGAATGTGTGATACATATATACAATGGAATACTACTCAATTATTTGAAAATGATGCAATACTGCCATTTGCAATAATATGGATGTATCTTGAGAGTATCATGTTCAGTGAAATGGGTCAGATGTAAAAAGGACAAGAACCATACAATTTCACTCATATGTGGGATATAAAACAGAAAGTGACAAACAAACAAACTCATATACACAGACAGTAGTATGGTGGTTACCAGAGGGGAAAGGGTTGGGGGGGGGAGGATGAAGAGGGTAAAGGGGGTCAAATATATGGTGAGAGAAGACGAATCTGGGTGGTGAACACACAATGCAATACACAGACAATGTATTATAAAATTGTACACCTGAAACTTATATAATGTTATTAACTAATGCTACCCCAATAAATTTCATTAAAAAATATTTCATTTAAGAAACAGTCTATATTCATACATCAGAAATACATGTAGTGAAGTAAAACATTTACTTTTTGTATTTGCTAATTCTGAGTAGCTATGTTTTTTTATAAGACAAGGTGTAAATATGGGACTAGGTCTCTCTACCCAACCAGTGATGTATTGCAATAAATAAAACTTATTCTTGGAACTAAATAGAGAACATAATCATTGAATTACACATCAGTCTCCCCACTAAACTATAACATCCTTAGTATTAGAAAATAGTTTCTACTTGGAATGCACATTCTGAAGAGGAATGACTGACTCATCATCAGTAAATTCCTAAATGTTTATTAAATGAAGGAGTACATGTTCTCAAAGGAAAATAATGTGTACCTTTCATCACATATGCTACTTTCCGCTCTAAATAAGATAAAATGATTCTTATTTGATCTGATGTCTCTTCTAATGTTTTATGATTATAACTTCATATTTAAAAAGAGAAGCCCTTAGTGGATAATTAGCAGCAATCAAGAGAAGCTTCAACATGCCATAAAGGTAGTTTCTGTCAAGAATAATTGTCTTTGCAGGAAATCTATCTGAAGAGACAGGCTGACGGCGGTAGAGACATTCTGAGAACCATTTCCCTGGGTTACTTATCTAAGCCAATCTTCATAGACCAGCCACCCAAGCAAAATGCTTGGTATGTTTTTCCTAAAAGGGACTGAGCTGTACGCTTTGCGGACTCATGCTGCCATTGAAGCCTGATTATGCTAATAGCATAATTGTTTCTCACAATTGAGTTCCTAAACATCTCAACTAAGTTGATCTTTACAATCAGTCCTATTTTTTTTTCTCTTTTTACCCAAAAAGCCACTGTCAGTGAGACAATAACAACAAACATTTCACACGGATAAATAATATCATTATTTTAGTTGGGTTTTAAGAAATACTAATCTTGCCTTGAGTGAACTTTATAAAATCAAGAAAACCTTGCATAAATAAACCTTACACAGGGGAGCCAAAGCAACACCTCAGTTCTAACTGGTACAGATTTTACAATCTATACAGAAATTTAGAGGGATTAACAGAATTATACAGGGACTTTGGAAAAATTACAGCCTTGTTCTAATCCTTGCAATGTTGGCAAACCTTATAAATTCCTGAAATACAAAGTGAAGGCATGGTGTATTTTAGGGGAAGAAATCCAATAGACAGAGACAACAATGCTCACCCAGATAAATGTTTAAACTTGTTAGTTCAACTAGAAAGCTTTCCCCCTGGGGAATAATTCACAATGTATCTTCTCTGAGTGATAGGATATCTATTTATAAAGATGCTGTCAACTTCAGGAATCTTCAGATATTCATTATTAGAAAGCTATAACATGCCAACATTTTGTAAAAGGCATAACAATCACTGCTCCAGTATGTGTATATGTTCATACATATGTGTATATTTATTTACACATATGTATACATATGTGTATATTTGGCTATTTTGAGGAATAAAGGTTACACTATTAATCTCTCTAGAATTTGGATCAATGGCTTTAGATTTTTTTCATCAAGCTATTCCCTTTTTCTAAATAATTACCAATATTAACGAATGTGGGTTATGCATTCATTTGGATTTAGCATTAACTGAATAGAAAAATTCAAACTAATTTTACTTTTTAAAATTCAAGGATAAATATATAATGGCTAATTTGTAATCATGTCAAATTTATGGTTCAAATAGCAATATTTTGAACCACTTGGATGTAGGTAGTCATTTCATTGCCCTTCTTTGTTTTTTTTTAATCATAATCAAACTTCCTTTTAATTAAATGCTACTATTTGTATAAAAATGATATTTATGGATATTCTCTGGGCTATGTTTATTTAATGATATGCTACTAAAATGTGACTAGTTTGCCGACATAAGGTTAAAGAATTCTTGCATGGATAAAATTATTTTAAAATAATAGATAAGCAATGATTTTATCTGTAAGTCAAGCCGTGTATCTAATGCATTAGGTTATATTTCCAAAGATTACTTCTCCCAACATTATCATCCTCTTTTATATCCCTTTATAATCGAGAAAGAATTTTTACACATTGCCATCAACTAAATCACAAAACTACCATTTTAAAGGTAAGATAATGAGATTGAGACAGAGATGTAACATCATGACTAATGTCACTTGGTTGGGAATGACAGAGACTGGAGCAGAAACCAAGGCTTTCGAGCCCTTGTTTCAGGGTTATATTTTTCATACTGACCAATTCTCTGCCAATGTGAAGAATTGTTGCCACACCTATCTTCTAATTGTCTGAATCTGAATTTCAGTGAATTTGTTTTCTTACTCTCTTTAGTTGAAACATGTAAAAGTGAACCCATAATTCTTGAGATGCCTATACAGTGATATTTACAAAACCAATAGCACACTGGGAAGGATATAACTAATTCACAATCACTTTCCCATCACTGAACAATTTAAAGCCTGTGACTGGCCTCAACATTGGTGAGAAAAAAGAGGAGTCATACAAAAACCTTTATTAGTGAATCTATCTAAGTAACAGGGAAATAGAACTAGATAAAAAAATACTATAGTTTAAAAATCTTTGGCTTTTTATTTTATTTTTCTAGTGCTATACCAACATTTTAATTTCAAGGTAAAATCCATATATATATATATAGTAATATTATATATATAATATTATATGTAGTATTTATATATATATATATATATATATATATATATATATATATATATAATACCAACCAACCAAATACCACCCCTAAACTATTTACTGATAATTTTTAAATTTAATTATTCAAGTATTCTGTATATCAACTTATCAAATAAAAATTATTTTTACTTAAATTACTTCATTGGGGGAAAGAGGGGAGGGTTATACAGATTACATTTTAAATAAGAAACCAAAAAAATTCTGCAGAAAAAGCTAACCTCAAATTACTTCAGATCTTTGCCAAAAAGTAAAGCTTTTTTTAAAACAAATTATTCTAGTAGAGAAATTTTGTTATACAAAACTGATAATTAGTGAGATATGTACTATCTCATAGCATTCTGACAATTTAGTGCCATCAAAGTTCAATGTACAACAATGATGTACACACAGGTAAATATTTCCAGCCCTATTATTTTTCTTACAATTTCACTACTTCATACAATTTTATACAATTTCACAACTACTGAATACAACCACCATTCATTCAGAAAGTACTTTCAGTGGGAGAAATAATGTGCTCACATTCAATTATTTACATTGGATCTTAAACTAACCATTTTCCTTGTTGAGATAATCTCCCATATAAAAGTAAGGATACTATGTAATAATTACCTTGAATAGTTTGCTTCCTTTTCTTCCCATCAGAGTTTTGGATTTTTTTAAGTCCCACAGAATATCTGATCTATTCAAAATCAATTTTTTTAACCAAGATTAAGGCCAAAAAAAATGTCACTTACTTTGCTTTAGCTTCTGCATCCTCATATGCTTTATTAGAAACATCATCCAAACCTCCAATCAAATGCTTGAAAGAGCTGTTAGAGGAAAAACACAGTGAATAGGATGAATCCTCTACGAAGTTATAATAATGACAACCTAGTCAATGATACATTGAAACAATCTAAAAGGATCTAAATAAAAATCAATCAAACTCTTAATCTAGAAATATTATTAAGAAACATATCAGGTAATGACATAAACTATGAGAGCAGGGACCTCTTCAGTCATGTTCACTTCTGTAGTTCCCACCACCTAGCTAGAACCATATCTAGCAAAAGCAGATGCTCAAAGAATTCGGTGGAAAAAGTCTTTGGCACACTAATTGATATGCATCACAAAGTTAATGAGTCGATTGTAATAGTGAAATAACAAGATCTACTAATTATGGAATGCCTACTGTATGACAGGTACTATTCTTTTAAGTCTCATGAATATATATTCATTCTAATTCTCAAACTGTAAAAGATAAGCATCATTATCTCCACCTCACAAAAAAGTAAAATAATCTTCAAAGGCAAAATAAGGCAGAAGAAAACGATTAACAGAAAATATAGGAAAATCAACTTGTTTTGGAGGAGTGAAGAAACTGACTTTAGCATCAACCAGGAAGGGTAATGTAACTGCTTAAACCCAAATTATTCAATATCCTACTATGTACCTAGAACTGTGTCCAGATCTGCTTTATATAGTGAAGTCTCAATTATTATGTATCCATAAAATATCATAGAGTCAGGACAAAAATGCACACACACAGGAATCACCTGAAAATTACTGAATGCAATCAGATACAGTAACTCTTACGCACACTTAATTTTGGCAACTACTGAAGAAGAATGAAGAAACAAATGGAAAGTCGATGTTCAAAAGTCCAAGTGTTCCCATAATAACCCCAGCCCTCACCTACATGGTTTTTATATGCCTGGCATTGTTTTATGCACTTTACATGTAGTAACAAATAGTTTAATAGTTACAGTGACCTTATGAGTTTGTGTTATCTCTATTTTATAGATGAGGATACTAAGGAATGAGAGGTTAAGAAACTATCCTTAAGTCACACAGGATAGGCATAGCCAAAGCATGTGAAGACTGATAAGGAAAGAGGTGATCATTCTCTTTCATGCTCTTAAAACCTATACTGCAGCTCCTGTCCAATCGTTATGTCATGAAGGTAACTTTCAAATCTCTAGCAATATTTGAGATGTGTGGAGAATCTGAAAGAGATGGAGGAAGCATTGACTTTGGGTAGTGGAAACACAATGCAATATATAGGTGATGCAGTATAGAATTATACACTTAAAACCTATATAATTTTAATAACCAATGTCATGCCAATAAACTTAATTAAAAATAAATAACATTTTAATTTAAACCTCTATTATCTTAATACATGCAAATGGCTTTGTGTGCTGGGAGTTTTTTGGTGTTTTTTTTTTTTTAAGATTTTTATTGGAGAATTGGGTAGGGGAACCGTGTTGGGGAATTTGGGAAGAGGAACATTGTGTTTTTCCAGGACCCATCAGCTCCAACTCAAGTTGTTGTTCTTCAATCTCAGCTGTGGAGGTCGCAAGCTCAGCTCCAAGTCCAGTCACTGCTTTCAATCTAGTTGCATAGTCCACCATCCTATGCAGGAGTTGAACTGGCAACACTGTTGCACACGGAGCCATCCAGCTGCCCATCTGCAGCTTGTGGCTGCTCAACTCAAGGACTGTGTTCAATCTTAGTTGGGGGGGAGGGGAAGCATAGCCCACTATCCAATACAGGTGTTGAACCAGCAACCTTGCTGCTAAGAGCATGTGCTCTCACCAGCTTAGCGGCAGTTCAGCTCGGGCGCAGCTCAGTGGCCCACGTGGAAATCAAATCGGAGACCTTGTTGCTCAGAGCTCACGTTCTTAACCAACTGAGCCACTTGGCTGGTCCCCTGTGCTGTGAGTTTTAAACAACAAAATATGCACACTCAGGTCCTGAAAAATAGTAGGATGTTTGCTGATTTAAATTTAAATGTTGCTTAATCACTTTCACATACACTTTTTTTTTTTAACCTATAAAGTGGAGGTTGACACTCTGCCTAGGGCTGGCTGAGCAGGGGTATGAAATAGCTATTATTTCAGGCACTTGGGTAATGATCTTATCTGGAGACAGGGTAACTAATGCTGGACTCAATAAACTAAGCATTTCTAATACAAAAAGAAAATAACTTGACAGAAGGTCAAGGAATTGAGTCCTGTCCTAATATTTTGTAGGGTGTCAGATGGTCACATGTCTTGTTAGGGAGACCGCATCATAGATTCAAAATGGGGTAGAGGCTTGATCACTGCACTGTACACCTGAAGCTGATGTTGTATAATATTGTATGTCAACTATT